TAGAATGTCCTGCAGTATTCTCTGTAGAGTTGGATTGGTGGCTGTGAATTCCTCCAGTTCCTGTTTGTCTTGGGAGCATGTTGTTTCTCCATTAATTTTTAGACAGTTTTGCAGTTATATCAATCTGGGCTGGAGATTATTTTCTTTCAGGGCCTGGAATACTTCTCTCCAAGCTCTTCTTGATTTGATGGTCTGTGTTGAGAAGCCTACCATGATTTTAATGGGTTTTCCTTTATAGGTGATCTATTTCTTTTCTCTGATGGCTTTTAATATTCTGTTCTTATATTGTATTTCTGAGATCTTGATTATTATATGTCTGAGCATGGCTCTATTTTGGTTGTAGATGGCTGGAGTTCTGTATGCTTCATACATCTGAATATTAAATACTTTTCCTATGCTTGGGAAGTTTTCCTTAATTATTTCTGTGAATAGACTTTGTAGTTCCTTTGTTTGTACCCCTGCTTCTCCATTCATATTCTTTATTCTTAAGTTATAGATCCCTCTTGTTATCTTCTAGCTTTTGTATTGTTACTGCCTGTTTCCTTGTTAATTTTAATAAATTTTTCCTTTCATGATCAGACATTGCAAGCCTGTCTTCCAGTTTGGATAATCTATCCTTAGTTGCTTTCAAGCAGTTTTGCCAGCTTTCAATAGAATTTTTTATTTTCTGGTAATCTCTTTGAACCTGCTTCATGTATTCTATATTGTTTTATATTCTTCATCAAATGTTTCTCTCCTTTTTTGTGTTCCTCCATTCTTCTGTCTGTGTCTTCTTGAGAGGTGCTTAGTATTTCTTTTATTAATCTACTTATATCTTGCTTTACATGGTTAAATATTTCACTTTTGAACTTGTCTATGAGGTCCCAAAGATATCTCTTTATGCTCACTGATGCCATGTCTAGTATTGCATGTTTGCTGTCCTCAATCTCTTTTGTATTTACCTCTCCTAGATCAATGTTCTCAGGGTTGGGGGCTGGGGACTTTTTCTTGTTGCTTCCTCTTGTCATGTTTTTTTGGTTTCTTCCATAGAGGTGTATAGAGGAGGTCCCAGTCTCTTTCCTTGTTGGTTATGGTTCTTCTGAAGCACACTGGCTAGGTATTTCAGCCCACTTCAGTGTGTTATTGAGGTGCAAACAGGGGCAGTGTATGCTGGCTCCTCCCCTCTGGGTCAGTCAACCTGCTGATTTCAGTGCATTAGTGTGCACCATGTGTAGGGAATTGGTTTGGGAAAATTCATTGGGTCTCAACCAGGGGCATGACCCAGGCCAAGCATACCCCACCAATCCTGTCTGGGAAGGCAACAACTGCCTGAAGTCACTGCTTTTCCTTGTTCTTGCCAGTACTGCCCAATTCCAAAATGTTGTCCCATTGGTGCCCCTTTCCTGTAGAAGGGTTTTATTCCCAGCACTCACTACAGGTCGTTGCAGGTCCCTTGCTGTCTCTGTACTCCGTTGGGCTCACTGACCTTTGACTTCAGTGCAACTGCATTTCTTTCTTTCTTTCTTTTCTTTTTTTTTTTTTTGTCTTTTTCCTTTTTATCGGTACCAGAGATCAAACTCATGACTGCCTGCTTGCAAGGCAGGAGCTTATGCCGCTGAGCTAAATCCCCAGCCCAGTGCAACTGCATTTCAGTGCGACTGTGGTTCTAGTAAGTCGAAGCGGCGGGAATTTGGGTGTGCAAGAGCACGGAATCTTAGCTGCCTCAGTAGTAGCCCCAGGACTGCATGTTTGACTGAGTCTTTTCATTTTAGTTTCTTCCTGGGTCGAGAGGATCCATCTCCCTCTGTCCGGGACTCCCCACAGTGTTTTATTTTGTCATCTGAGTTGCCTATTTCAGGGAGCCTCTGTATTTTGCTCTTATCTATCCACCATCTTTACCAGACACCAACTTGGCCCTTCTTCACTTTTCAAACTGTTTAATGAAATTGAAAGGAAAGCCATACTCCCAAATTCATTCCTGGAAGCAAGAATTATCCTGATATCAAAACCAGAGAAGGATCCAACCAAAAAAAAGAACTACACACCACCCTCCCTATTGAATATACAAGCAACAATCCTCAATAAGATACTAGTATACAATGCAACAAATCATCAAAAAGGGTATACACTGTAACCAACTAGGGATTATCCCAGGGATGCAGGGATAGTTCAACATATATAAATCAATAAATGTAATACACCATATTAAAAGATCCAAGGACAAAAACTATATAATCAAAAACTATTGATGTAGAGAAAGTATTTTACAATGTCCAACACTCATTCATGATAAAAGTCCTACAAAAAGTGGAATAGATTATCTTTATCTAAATCTGATGAAAGCCATATATAAGAAACCAGTGGCCAATATCATACTAAATGGACAAAAATTGAAAGCTTTCACTTTAAAAATCAGGAACAAGACAACCATGTTCACTATTATCACTCTTATTCAATATAGCTCTGGAAACACTGCCCAGAGCAATTGGACAAGAGAAAGAAATAAAAGGAATAAGGATAGGAAAGGGAAAAATTAAATTGTTACCATTTGCAGAGACCTCCAAAACTTCACCAAAAGACTTCTAGATTTAAAAATCAAATTCAATAATGTAGCTGGATACAAAGTCAACACTCAAAAATTAGTACCCTTCCTGTACACAAATAACAAACTCAATGATAAAGAAATTAGGCAAATAACACTTTCTTTTTTCTTTTTCTTTTTTTTTTTTGTCTTTTTCCTTTTTATCGGTACCAGGGATTGAACTCACGACTGCCTGCTTGTAAGGCAGGCGCTTATGCCGCTGAGCTAAATCCCCAGCCCCAATAACACTTTCATATAGCATCCAAAAAATTAAATACTTTTGAATCAATTTTACAAAGTAGGTTAAAACTTTACTTTGAAAACTATAACACTCTGATAAAAATATTGAAAATATATCAGAAAATGGAAAGATACTCCTTGTTCTTGGATAGGAAGAACCAATATAGTAAAAATAATACACTTTCAAAATTGTAATAGAGATTTAATGCAATCCCAATCAAAATACCAACAGCAAATCTCAAGGAATTAGAGAAATTAATCTGAAATCAGAAGCAATTATGGGCAACAAAAGGCAATTCATGGGTAACACAATCCCTGACTTGAAATTATACCATGAAACTACTGTGCTAAAAAAATAGTATTGTTAAACACACACACACACACACACATGCACGCACACACATGCACACACACACACACACACACACACACACACACACACACTAAAACAAAACATAACCAAAGAAACAGACTTGAGGGTCAGTGGAACAGATTAGAAGGTGCAGAAACAACTGCAAACATGAGATGCAAACACATTCAGAGTCACCTTGTGTTTGAACAAGGAGCCAAACACCTTCACTGGAAGAAAGATAGTCTCTAATAAATGGTGATAGAAAAACTGACTTTCCACATGCCAAAGATTAAAACTAAACCCATATATTTCATCATGCACTGGACTAAAATCAAAATGGATAAAAAATGTAAATATTAAAGCAGAAACACTAAATATGCTGGAAGATAGAATAGACAGAACTCATGAAAACAGTGATACAGGAAAAGGCTTTATAAACAAAACCCTGATCACATAGGAACTATCACAAAAAATCAACAACTGGAATCTCATTATATTAAAAAGCTTTTTGCACAGCAAAGAGAACCACCTATTCGAAGCAAGAAAATTCTTTTACCAGCTGTTCTTTGAACAAAGAACTAATATCTAGAATACATAAAGAACTCGAAAAAAAAATCAGATTCCCCAAATTCAAAGACTCAGTCCGAAATAAGCATCTGAAACAAAGACACATCTCAGATAAAGAAGTAGAAATAGACAATAAATACATGAAAAAAATGTTCAACATCACTGATCATTCGAGAGATGCAAATTAAAATAACACTGAGATTCCATTTTACTCCAGAGAACATGGCTATTATCAAGAAACCAACCAAAGCATAGCTATTACCAAGAAACTAAATGTACCAAAAGTGCTGGCAGAAATGTGCAGAAAAAGAAACCCTTCTTCTCTGTTGGTCGGAGTGTAGACTGGTGCAACCACTGTGGAAATCACTGTAGAGATTCCTCAAAAAACTAAAACTAGAGGTTCCATTCAACCCAGCTATTTCCCCTTCTATTTCCCTGTATTGTCCTTAAAAAGGTAAAAGCATCATACCATAGTGATATATGTACACATTTATAGTGGCCAGTTTGAGACAGCCCAAATTCCCATCAACTGATGAATGGGTAAAGAAGACACAGTTTTCTATACAACTGAATACCACTCTGTCAAAAAGAAGCATAAGCTTGAGACATCTCTAGATAAATAGATATACTTTGAGATCATACTTTTAAGTGAAATAAATCAGACACATGTTTAAATACTTCATTTTTTCCTCTGGTATGAGAAACCAAAAGTGTAAATAAGGATCAACATGTGTAATAGATATTGAGAAATAGGAAGAAAATGTTCCTATAGGAAGAACAGGGAAGGAGGGAGGGACAAAGGGAGAAAAGGACCAAAAAAAGAAAGAATAGGAGGAAAAAATGGAAACAAAGTTTTTGTAAACAAGGAGAGAAAGAGAGGTTGAAGGAAGAGGAGGCAGGGAAAGGATGAGAAAAAAGAAGCAGCAAGATATATCCTGTACTGGTACAAATTCCTTGTGATGAATGTTAGCATCATGTATATCAGAAATGTACTAATAAAATTTTTTAAAAAGACCTCAAACAGTCAAATTCCTAAATAGAAAAAAAAAGATAGAAAACAAAGAGAAATTGAAGCATGCCTGCTCTCTGATCTCCTGTCCACATGTCCTTGAGTAGGACTCTCTGGACACAAAGTCCTAGAAGGTACAGAAAGGCTTTATGGTGGACTCCCCTGTGAGCCATGGTGCAGAAGAGACTTGCACTGAGAGAGAGAAGGAGCAGCCAGTACAAATGCAAATGTCATTGGAGCATAGTCTGAGGCTCTCCAGGGAAGGCTTCTGCCTACACCGTCACCATGATCTGATCCAGAGTCTTCCGTCTGAGGTCAGGAACTGTGGTCTCTTTGCTGGGGTACCCCATGGGGAGCAGCACCAGCAGCTTTTCATGTGGGGGACGGTCCAGAAGCACCCACAGACGAGGGCCACAGTTGAGGGGAGTAGTAGTGACGGTCACTAGCCCTGCATTTTAAAATGAGAGAGGGAAAGGATGCATATTAAAGTTAGAGGCCAATCCCAGCTCTGCCTTCAGCCCAGGGACATTCTCACCCTACTTTGATGCCATCCTGCTTATCCCATTATTTCCCTGAAGTTGAGGAATCCAACCACAGCAAAGGAAATAGAACAGTTGGGAGTTCCCCTTATCCAAGAGATGAGGCTTTATCTGGAGCATGATCTAAGTGTTCCAGCCCTAACTGACTGTACTTTTCCTACTAAATACCCTTTGGTGGACGCATTATCTGACAATGGTTTGTTATCAATGTCTGTAATATTAATATCTGACTCAGAAATGTTGAAGGCACCAGAGAGACATAATATGGTCTCTTCTGAAAGTCTTTCCTGTGCATCACTGCATACTCTGATTCATCAAAAGTCTGTGCAGCCTGAGGGACTGTTCTCAGTGACATGTGCACGTGGAATAAGCTGTTGACTTCTTGTTTCACTGTGAGCTTGGACTGCCTCATTACGTTACTTCTCTCCCTTTATTATATCTTAACATATTACTTACATTTAGAATGGCTGAATCTCAAGATTTTCAATAACAAAGTGTTTAATGTGATATCATTTCACATATTAGGTGTCTTTTAAAACATAGCTTTTACTCCATACTGAATTTTGAATATCTTTGGCAGTAGAAATCTGTGACTAAATATGTTAAGCAATTCTGCTTGTTACTATAAAGCTGATTTCTGTTAGTATTTTATCTTCCATTTTCTCTTGATGTGAGCACTTTGGTCTTATTGGAAATCAAGCATTCTTTTTTTTAAAACCTCAAATCTTTAGATCCCCAAAGGGCTAAGGATTGAATTCAGCAAGTTTGTGAACTTAAAAACATAAATGCAGCTTTATATTCACTAACTTCTAACTGAAATTTAGAATTTCTTCAATTATAAACATAGACAACAAATCACAGCAGTGTTAAGTGTCTCTGATTTGTCACAAATAAAATTCACAGATATGTTCATATATCACTTTATAATTGTTATCTTTAAAATGTCATTATACTCCTTACTTTAAAATTGTAGGCTGACAGTAGGTCTTGATATTAAATGTATAAATAAAGATTTCCAGCTGGGTATTGTGGCTCATGCCTGTAATCCCAGCACTCAGGAGGCTGAGGCAGGAGGATTGTTGTGAGTTCAAGACCAGTCTAGCCTACAAAGTGAGCTCAAGGTCAGCTGAACTGTATATCAAGATTCTGTCTCAAAAAACCACACACACACACACACACACACACACACACACACGAATATTTTTATATTTTATATTTTACTCTAAACAATGGCAAGCATAGAGAATGTCTGTGACTAAGAACCAACAATGGAAGAAGTGAATCACTCCTAGGGAAGTCATGAGGTCCAATGCAAGGGTAACCAGTGGTCAAAGGAAAAATGGGGTAGAGAAACTACCTCAGGTCTGTCCTCAAGTCTCCATAGAGTAAACATCTAAATAAAACTAATGCATAGTTTTTAAGAACTTCTTTAGTTGCCTCCCGCACCACCTATGTTTTCCCAATCAGAAGACATCCCTAGCCTAGGCCAGGAAGTCAGGAGCTGCCCCCATGTATCATCCTGTGTGACAGAGTTCCTGGTCCTTCCGAATGTCCTCTCTCCTCGTTAACACTGATCACTCTCAGAATTATACCTAAAGGGCTGGGTTCAGTGACACATGCCTGTATTCTCTGCATTCAGGAGACTGAGCTCCAGGCCAGCCTGGGCTACATAGTGAGTTCAAAACCAGGTCCTGTCTCAAGACAGAGCAGGGCAGCACGGAACAGGACAAAACAGAACAGAACAGAACACAAAGCAACAAAACAGAATACAACAGGAAAGAACAACACAAAAGAATGCTAGAGGGCAGCATACTCCACAGTACTGTATAGTAGCAGAGGCTGGATTTCTGAGGCCAGAGCAAGGTGAACTGAGCTCACATCAGGCTGCCACTGCTTCTTGCTGTGGTCTGAAGGCTGCGCGGGGACCCCTTTATTTGTCTGCTACAGATTTAGAAGGGAAGACAAATGCCAGTTTCTTCAAGACAATTTTTCGAGTGATCTGAAAAATGCTTTTTTCCTTTTGTGCAACCACAACCAAATTTTTCACTGAGGTAATGTAGAAGGGTGTGTGTAAATTGTTCCTTGAAAGTAGGATCATCTTCTCTTAAAATCTTTTTTGATTTTTTTTATTGAATGCATTCACTATTTCTCTCCACCCCCTATCTAAACCCCAGACCCCATCAGAATGTACAGTTCATGAGACAGCCACCCTCCGTGCCTTCCAGGAATGTCACTTGCAAGAGGCTCAAGAAGTATTTGTGGTGTTAATGAGCTGAATGGCTTGAAAGGCATAGCACAGTTCTATTCCACTTCCTGTTGGCACTGCACTGGCTACTAGGTAGGTGGGAGGCTTTGCAAGCACATGTTTGTCTTGATTGCCATGCAAACCCAGCATCACAGGAAAGGCACTCTGCGGCAGAGTCCTCCCTCCAGCTTTTCAGTCCATCCATCAGCTCAGATAGCAGAGTACATACTGCTGTGGAGTTGTCTTTGGGATTTTCAGGCGCTAAAGTTCTGCATGTGCATCTGCCGGGCCTGTTAAACTACACTCCCTATACAATGCTGCTAAGATGGTACAATATTTCTGATCCTGAAATGAGTTACAAGTGAGGTTCCAGGAAGATTTCCAGCTCGTTGAACCATCACTCTCACCACCTCAGGTTTCCAGGGTCAGTTGGTCCGCATGTCAGCGTTTCCTCACTTAGGAATTCAACTTTAGAGAACTATGACCTATATGGGAAACTCATCTAAGTTTTCTAAGAAGCCCACCCTGGGGCCTCAAGTCTCCCTTGTATCCCTTGGGCCTGTAGGGGCAACGTACCTGCAGCGTGGTGAGCAGGATGCCACAAGCGATGGAGACGCTGATCTCATTGTAGTAGTGGATCTTTTTCTTGCCATTCGCAGCAAAGCCATGCACTTGCTTGAAAATGAGAATCAAAATGGGGGCAGTGTCCGAGTACTCTTTAATCCAATTGGTTCTGGGCAGGGGGGAGATTCAGGAGAATATTTGCTCAATGTTTTTGCTTTCTTTTACTACATTAGCTTAATGATAAAAATGAAAACATGTTAACTTGTCTTTTATGTTTATGTTGAAAAAAGGTAGTTTTTCTGGTGTGTTTATGTTATTCATCTTTTTTATCCAACTCAGTGAATTCAATAAACATGCATTTATAAGTTGCTGAAAGACAAAAAGATACACCCTATAACTCAGCACTTAGCCAATACTTACAAAAGTAAACCTGGTTAGTGCTACTAAAGAAATAGAAATCAATTGCTTTGTGAATGCTCCAGAATCTTAAATATTAATTTTTATTGAGATGATTGGGAAGAAGATCCCAAGAAATGACCTCAAGCTGGGCTTTTAGAGACCAGGCAGAATAGGAGTGTGGAGAGGGCATCTCAGGCAGAGCAGAGAGGTGAGCAAAGCCAGGGTCAGGAGGAAGGCCCAGCCAGACAGGGGTCTCCAGCACTTAATGGGCTGGAGGGCGGCTGTGTGGCAGGATATGCTGAGGTAGCAGGTTCTGGCCAGACAGGACCTGGCCCTGGTGTGTGGTGAAGTGAGAGTTATCATCACAGGCTGCAGGCAGAAGAATCACAGGATCTGGTCTGTTTTAGAAAGTAGATCCAGTGTGTCTGTGAGAGTGGTATTTCCAAGGGCAGAATTTTGAATACCAATACAAATAATCATCCCAGAGAAAGGAAAAGCTGATGGGAGATGACAACTATGTCTCAGGAAGGAGAAAGGACAAGGAAAGAGAACTCAGGAGACTGTGGAGATGAAGGGCGGGAGAGACAGAATTGGAATCCAGTACGAGAGCAGGTGAGGAGGCGATAATGATGGGGAGGGATTTCAGGGAGATGATGTTAGCCTAGTTACAAAAAAAGAAAGGAAGGTTTCAGGCAGCAAAAAGTCAGTCACAGGTAGTATAAATGTGGCCCCCAGTAGAGAGGCAGGTATTAGGTACCTTCATATTCTAAAAGGCCTCCCGGTATGGCTTTTTGAGAATCTAGTCGGTATCACCCACCTCCTCCCAGTTCTACTAAATTCCACTCTGTTCTTAGAGCCCAGAGTTTTTAATGCCCAAAAGATTTACTTGAATTAACTTGTCCTCAGACTGCTTGGTAAAGTTATTTTGCAAGACCTAATCGCCTTAAGCAAAATATGATTTGCTTCATCAAGATTTTGAAAAGTATTTTACAATCTCATGTTCCAGATGCATGAAACTGAAGTGATTCTTCAGAGTTGTATTTAAAAAATTATTAGCTGGGTCAGAACTCATAAAATAATAGATCAGAAGCAAGGCCTGACTTAATTTTCATAATTTCTTCCAGAGATAGAATCTAACTTCCTGGTAGATGGAACCAGGATCAGATTTGTTTAGTGCATGTGTTGAAAAGCCACACCGAATCATATTATGATGCACAATAAATACATACTAATCGAATATAAAATATCATTTAAAACCAATAAGCCCAACAAACTCAGTTGTTTAATTTTAGGAAGTCAAACCAAACATCCACCGCCTTTGTACCTCAGTTTCTTCAGATCTGTAACCCAGCGGGGTCCCATTCTTTTCATGTAGTTTATTTCCTCTTCCTCTTCCACGATCTGCCGGATTTGGTGCTTCACAGCTGGGTCCTTCACCACCACAAAGGTCCAGGGCTCTGTGTGGGCCCCACTTGGGGCTGTTCCTAGCACCCATTAAATTAAAATCAGACTTTAAAACTGCAGGGTAGTGTGAGATCCTTCACTCAGAGTAAACAGAATGCTTCTTCCTTGCTCAGAATGAAGTTACATAATCTGAGAAGCAAAGTGCCTGCCAGTGGACTCTTGCCTGCAGCAACCGACTCCTTTTCCTTCTGCTTTATTTTAGGTGTCTCAGAACTGTGGGAACTCATCACTGCCACTTAATTCATGGAGGACAAAACATCCCTAAGTATCTGTACCATGACCAGTAAGGAAACATCCATGACAGCCCAAATTCACCAAGCTGCCATTAGTTTGGTATTGTTGAGAAAATATACCGTCATGAAGTGAATTGGGGATGGAAAAATACCAATGGTAAAATGATTTCTAAAATATTCCTGAACAGGCAAACAAACCATGCATTATTTAGTGCCTCCAGGATTTGGCATCTTCTTGGGGAGGAAGAAGAGCAGTGTAACTTTCTGCTCCTGTGGGTATTCGAAAGCTCAGCCCACAGCTGGATCAGCTCCTGTGCCCAATGGGGCTCCCCTTAATCCAAGGAACTTGAATTTCCTGTGTGATTCTTGGGATGGGGGTGTTGGGTCAGCTTCTGATCCATGGACCATCCCTTAGTCACAGGAAGGCTTACTGTTCCCAAGGGTCAGGCACAGTGGATTGCAGAATGGATATTTTAGAAGCAATGATTTCTTCTTTCGTAGCTAGTAGTTTAGTGTAATAAACTCTACCTCTTTGGGGAGTGAGGCCTGTGGACTCTTAGTGGGGATTCTTGACTACCACCCAACACTCTCAACAGCAGAAGTCATCCTTGGTTGTGCAATAAAAGTCAAAAGCTAAGCAGGAGACCTAAATTTCTACAAAGTGATTTCAGTTAATTTTGTAGCCATTTTACTAAACATTTGTATCTCTAAACATAGTAAAAGAATCATTTCTCAGCCATTTGCGGACTCGAGGGAGAGAGAGAGCAAGGCCACACCAGCAGGCAAATCCAGTCTGGGAAGCAGTGCCATGCGTGGGTGGCCGCCAAAGTAGGAACAGTCAGACCCCAGCTCCTTCTGGCATGCAGACTGGCCAACAAGAAGTACCAACACACACATATACCCCACCCCCCGTCCCCATCCCCATAAGCAACCTGCATCTGGATAAACTCAGGCTGTGATGATAGGTGAAATGCAATTGGATGCCTGTGGTGCTTTGGTGTTTCACTGACCTTGCAGGTCTAGGGTCAGTGGTCTGATCATTGATTCAGAGGATAGCAGTACATGGTGTGACATCTAGCGGGGAGTTCCTTCTCATGGTTGCAGCCATTGTTGGTTCCCTATGGCCTTGTTTTGGAAGTCCTATATCATTTCCAATGTTTTATTGGGTTTTATTCTCTTTATTTTGTTTGATTGTGTTAAATCTGATGGCAGGAGCAACTATTTCAAAGATAGCGAGATATATTATGGTAGCCATTTTGGACTTACTTAAAGCTTTATTTGAAATGCTTTATTGCATTTTTTTTTGTTTTTATTGTTCCTGTTTTGGTCTGTTCTGTTTGATTTTCACTATGTCCAAAGTTGTCTGTAGCTATTTTGAAGACATCAAAAGGCCTTATGGTAACTATCATTGATATTGTAATGTTTTGAAGTCCTGTGTCTTTTATACTGGTTTGTTGTGATTGGTTTTATTCTGTTTTATCCTCTTTAAAATAAAATGAAAAAATGAAAAAATGGAATTGTCTGTCTAATAAATTAGGCAAATTTACCTTAATACCACATGTTCATACACAAATATAAAGATAAACAAGAAATTTCATGAATGTTGCTATTTAAAGCACTCAACAAGGGCTGAGGGGTTAGCATAGTGGTAGAGTGCTTGCCTAGCATGCACAAGGCCCTGAGTTTAATCCTCAGTACAAAAAAAAAAAAAGAAAGAAAAAGTGAAATCACTCAAAAATTTAATACTGTTATATTCTTAACCAGGACAAAAAATATTTTATATTCATTTTAAGTTAGACAATAGAGTCACAATGACTATACAATAATTTCAACAAATGAGCCTAAATTTAGATTTAGATAAGAGTACGATTGACTAGAGGGAATACTCAGGACTCTTATTCTTTTAACTTCTCTCCCGTTTCTGTATCCTCACCTCCTGCCCCAATTAATTTTCACTGAAAATGAGTTGGTCTTGCTTTGGTTTACTTTGCAAATTCACACAGATTAACTTTGCTAGTTCATTACTGTTCTATAGCAAAGTAAACTTCTAGCACAGTAAGCTTTATAGGTAAATTTATCACTCTCACCTGCACTCACATGTTTGAATTTCAATATTATTCCAGTAGTGTCACTCCAGGAGGGCAGCTGAAATCCTCAAAGACCCAACATGTGTTCACTAACCTGCTGTTTTGATGACACTGTCAATGACCTCCATTGGAACTTGCTCATTGCTTATGAACCGGACTGAGCGTCTCTTATTGAGAAGTTCATAAAATTCCTGAGCTCTCTTAACCATTTCCTCCTCAGGGTACCGGGTGTGGGAGAATGGGATGTGTTCAACGTGTTCCTCTGACTCCTGCCACTCATCAGCATCTGCAGATAAGAATCAGATGAGTCACAAGTTCAGCAGTCAATCCATTATAAGGTGGTCACCAGGCAAAGGAAAGTTCCTGAAAATGTCTGTAAGCTTATATAAGCTCAAAAAAGATCAATAGCACAAAGAAAAAGAGAAGAGAGGAGAAAGGAAGGCAGGAGGAGAGAACAGGGACAGAGATAAAGAAGAGGAGGAGGAGGACGAAGGGGAAGAAGGAAACAAAAATGAAGTAGATCTACAGAATCCTGACCACTGATCTTGACTATTCTTTAACTCTAGACTTGTTATAAATCCAGAAAAAACAATCTTTACCTACAAAAAGATGAGGCTTTCAAATTTCCCCTAATGGTGGATTAGGTTATTTGAGACAATTCTCTACCTGATGAAAGTCACTCAGATCACCAAATGTGTTTTTGGAAGCTTTCTTTTTTAAACAGTTGAACTGACAAACTAGTAAAAAAATTAACAGACTCAAATTGAAGGGAAAATATAAACCTACAGAGGTAAGCATAGAAGTTACATTTTCCCTGATTGTTTCTGCTAATCCTTATAATTTGAATTTCCATTTTTGTATTTTCAGTGATCAAGGGAAACCAAAATCATAATTCAGGCCTACACACAATGGGAAAGCTAACAATTTGGAGCCTGAGACTCTATCCTTCAGAAAAGTAAGAATTATTAAAATGCAAGCCCTCAATGGCCTATATCATTTTGGTATGTCCTGCCTCAAATTTGAACTTAGAGTAAAGTGGTCTTGGTTGAAAATGCCCCAACTGGTTAGCAGAATAAAATGCAAATATACAAATAAACTCAAGTATACTTACTAGCACCAAATGTAATCAGGCACCTAAAGAAACAAAAAATTTTGAACAAGAAGTAGCAGAATCAATAAAAAATATAAAATCAGATGGCTAAAGATTCCAAATACTAGAATTGTTAGGTTCAGAAGATAAAACAATTATGTTATTGTATTCAGAGTGGGAGGAGAAGACAAACACAAATCTATAAGGTACATGAAAGAATAAAATGTGATGAGGAAATAAGAAAAAATAGGATATGTAGAACTGACCAATAACAGAATTAAGAGCTTAATGGATAAATTTATTAGCAGTAAATTACTTAAAAGAAAAATTAATGAACTGGAAAATAAAAAGAAAATATGAATAAGTTGAAAGATGAAATAGAAAACAGGAAAAAAGGAGCATGGTAAGGATGTCTAATATAATTTTTTCATAATCAAGAGGTGAAAAGGAGAATGTAGCAGAGGCAGTATTTGAATTCACAGTGGACAGCACCAAAATCCAGATCATTAGTAACTACCATGAAAGATTGTACTTGGACAATCTATCCACTGCAGTAGTGGATAGATTCCTAAACACATATGAATTACCAAAACTGAACCAAGAAGACAAAAAAAATCTGAACAATACAATAACAGACAAAAATGAAATTGAAGCAAATTAAACAACAAAACCCTATTAAGAAAAGCCCAGGATCTACAGGATTCACTGCTGAATTCTACAAGACCTTCAGGGACAGTGTAACACCAGTATGCCTAAACTCATCAGTGAAACTGAAAGGGAAAAAATAACTCCATCTCATCCACAGAGGCAAGAATTACTGTAATTCCAAAATCAAATGTGGACCCAACTAAAAAAGCTAAAGGACAATCCCTTTAATGATCGTAAAGGTAAAAAGGAAATCCTTAAGGTACTAGCAAATGGAATGCAGCAAATCATCAAAAAAGACGATGCAGCATGACCAAGTAGGTTTTATCCCAAGGATGAAAAGATGGTTCAACATCCACAAATCAGTAAACGTAATATATCATATAAATAGAAGCAAGAACAACAATTGTATGAATGGACTTGGTGCACATGAGCCGCAGCATGGCAGCGCACCCATCTGACCGCCACAAGCAACATAGTAAAGCTCATAAAGGCATGCGGCATGGGATGGGGGTGAGGGTGGCTATGGGGAGTCCAGGATCTGCAGAGGGGGATGGCAAAGACCATGTAGAACTGCAAGTCCTGTGAAGGTGAGAAAAGAACTCAGCAGAGTAGAACAGAAGCATTGTGCCAGCCAGCTCTGAAACCATAACAAGGAGGCAGTTCTGGCAGAGAAGAGACAGCTAGCGGCAACTCATCAGGTGCTGGTGGTGCCTTCGTATAACAGAATTTCTTTGTCTGAAGCCCCTCACTTGCTTCAGCATAGGAACATGAGAACAGTGCTCCTGCAGAAATGGGAGAACACTCAGTGCTTTATGCTGCTGTGCATAATTGAAACATTGGTGTTTTTTTTTTTTTTCACATCTGCAAAGCCAGGGCATCTACATACTGTGTTAGACGTGGCTAAAGTGGTTGATACCATCTTATTCCTCTTTGACCCACTAGAAGACTGGGACAGCACTTGGGATTATCTCTTTTCTGCCTCTGCTCAGGGCCTCCCTACCTATACACTAGCTGTTCAAGGGGTTTCTGACCTCCCACCTAAGAGGCTGGTAGATTCCAGAAAGAAGCTAAGTAAAGTAGTGGAGAAGTATTTTCCTGATGATAAACTCTTCCTGTTAGACATTCAGCAAGAGGCAGGGATGCTGCTTAGGCAGCTGGCTAACCAAAAGCAAAGACATCTTGCTTTTGGAGATTGGCAAGCCTACTTGTTTGCCTATGCTGCGGATTTTGTACCTAATGAAGAGAATAACTTGGTGGGCACCTTGAAAATCTCAGGCTATGTGCACAGGCAGACTTTGAATATAAATAGCTTGCTGCATATCGCTGGAGATGGTGATTTTAAAAAGAAACAGATTGATACCCCTGTGGACCCTTTCCTTTTAAATCCTAGAGTGATTAACTCTCAGAAGGATCCAGGCATGACAAAGGAGGTTTGTGCTACAGATGCTGTAGTTGATATGAAACACCTTAAGGTCATGACAAAGGCAGACTCTGACATTCAAGAGTCTTTGCAAACAGAAGTTATCCCAGAACCAGTGGAAGGGGAGCAATCCTGGCCCACTGAGGAGGAGCTGAATGAGGCAAATGACTTGTTGAAGGAAAGTTTCAAGGTGGTAAAGAAGGTTCCCAAAGGAACATCCAGTTACCAAGTTTAGTGGATTTTGGATGAAGGCGGTAAAAGTGGTGGGGAAGGAGATGACTGATGATATAGAACATGAGGATTTTAAGGAAGAGGAATCTCAGTATGAAAGTAGGGAAGAAGAAGAAGTGGAGAAATGTGAAACTATGATGATCTGTATGATGAGAAAATGGATGAAAAGGCTGAGGAAAAAATGTTGGAGAAATATAAGTAAGAAAGGGAGGGTCACAAAGAGGGTGGAACAGTAAGCAGCAGAGTACACAGCATCTCTGAGAGAAATAGTCCAGACACTGGAATATAGCATTCTGGAGAAGACAAGAAGGAAGGAAACGGGTCTCCTCAACCTGTTGTGTTAATTCTCACTTAAGAAACTTAAGTGAGAATTAAAACCCACAGAGAGAATAGAAAAACAAAGAAAGAAAAACATAAACAGAAGAAGGCAGGAGTTGGCAGCACTTTCACCAGAGCTGGAACCACCATGCCAGAAGCACTGCTGGAACTTGGAGACACACAGTCATAGTGAAGCTGGTGGCTGGCAAGCCCAAAGGCCTCTCTGGGGTGACGTGGTAGCAGAGGGGAGCAGCAGACCAGAGAACTTCACCGGCTGGTGGTGAGTGCCTGTTCCACCCCTGCTTACACTCCAGGAGCTGCTGGGAAAAGCAGTAATCAGCAGAAATCCCTAGCCAGTATGCTTCAGAGTAATTATAACCAATACAGGAAGGTCTGGGGACTCTACCACCCACTTGTCTGGGAGAAGACAGGAATATGACAAGAGGAAGAAGCAAAATGCAGTCTCTGGTCTCCAACCCAAGCAGTACTGGTCCAGGAGATGTAAACCTGGAAGACATTGGGAGCCACACTCCTGCAATTTCTGAAGCAACAGCAACTGAAATAAAGAAACAACTTCAAGAAGCTATTAAAAAACTTAGAATAGAAATACTATTATAGGTTAAAGAAAAAATGAGAAACATAATCAAAGAATTGCTAAGCACCTCTATAGAAGACACAGATGGAAGAATAGAGGAGCATAGAAAAAGGAGGGAAACCTTCAATGAAGAATATAAAAAATTTAGAGTACATGAAGCAGATTCAAAGAGATTTTCAGGATATTAAAAATTTTATTGAAAGCTGGCAAAACTTCTTGAAACAAACTAAAGATAGACTACCAAATCTTGAAGACAGGTTTTCAGCTTGCGATCATGAAAGGAAAGATCTCTTAAAAATAACAAGGAATCAGGAAGTAACAATACGAAGGCTAGAAGATGACTAAAGGAACTATAAATTAAGAATAAAAAATGTGAGTGAAGAAGCAAGGGTAAATACAAATGAAATACACAGGCTATTTACAGAAATAATTAAAGAAAACTTCCCAAGCATAGGAAAAGGAAATAATATTCAGATAAATGAGACATGCAGAACTTCAGCCAGCTATAACCAAAATAGATCTACACCCAGACATATAATAATCAAGATCCCAGAAATTCATCACAAGAACAGAACATTAAAAGCTGTCAGAGAAGAGAAACAGATGATCTCTAAAGGAAAACCCATCAGAATCACGACAGACTTCTCAACACAAACCTTCAAATCAAGAAGAGCTTGGAGTGAAGTATTCCAAGTTCTGAAAGAAAATAACCTCCAACCCAGATTGATGTACCCTGAAAAACCATCTCTCAAAATTAATGGGGAAACAAGATACTTCCATGACAAAGAGGAACTAGAGGAGTTCATGACCCCCAAACCAACCCTACAAAAAATATGGAAGGACATGAGAGAGAGGGAGAGAGAGAGAGAGAGAGAGAGAGAGAGAGAGAGAGAGAGAGAGAGAGAGAGAAAGACCATGGTTTCAGCAACAGTGGCAGAGGAGGCTCATTGAATGAAGCACAGTGGAATGAAGGGGAAAAGTACA